GGAACTTTGTGGTAACTCCCTCAGGACAGGCATCTGTTTTCTAAGTCTGTTTGAATCATTTTAAGGTCAATGATGCCTCTCTGGAGAGCCAGTGATTTTATGCTGGCTCTGAGCGTTCCTTCTGCTGTTGGGTATGAAGTGGCATTCCTAACGATGCTAAGAATAGGAAAAAAAAACAAAAACCTTTCAGTTTTTCAACATGCCACTCCCCTGCCCAGATGATTTGTGAATTCTTCTTTAGAAAGGGAAAGGAGATGCTGGTTAGTTTTAAACATTGCATTCTAAGTTCAGATACTTTTTATGCCTTTGGTTGTGTTGGTTTTTAAAGTTCTTCATGGATGCGTTACACTCATGAAGAATGTCTTTGTAATTATCGTATTTGGTAAAATTTTGGCCTATAAGATTTTAAAGTAATCCTTTACTTTTATATAGCTGTAAGTGTCTTGGAAATGCTTGAAAATTACTTGTCAGTTCTGTTAACACTAATCCCATCCTCTCAAGACAAGACAAATTTTTAACCAAGGGAAATAGTCATAGTGTCTCATCTCAGGCTTGTAACTTAGGAGGCCGATAGCTGTAGGCTTAGCACTACAAGTCATGATTTGCACCTTACTCCACTGGCTGTATGTGGCACTTAGGAAAGTGAACTTTCTCCATTACTAGTCTAAAGCTAGATGACAGCTATACCCTTAAGAGACTGTTCTGTTCGTGCAAGGTCACTTATGGCCAGTTTCTTACACCCTTGCTTCTTCAAGATACATCTAGGTGCATACCTATTAAGTGTCGTTTTCAGTTAGGGATGTCTTTGGAAATAGATAAAATAATTAGAAAAATGTAGTTTTATTACATTTGAAAGCTTATATAAAATTATAGATTGTAAGTTGATGTACTTTTTTTGCCTTATTGTTACTAAAACCAGTTTTAAGACCATTCAGTCAACTTTTATTTAAGTATTTCCTTTCAGTACATTTGCTGGAATACTACCATTTAATTGAAAATGAGGTCATATCCTGTACATACCTTCATGTCTTTTCAGATTGATGTTTGTATTTCCTTGTTTGCTTGACAGCTCTTTAATTAGAGACCTAATGTTACCGAGCTAAGTAGCACAGGGAAGGAGTTTATCTGCCCGGAGTGCTGAGGCTCACGGTTATCGTTCTTTGCCTTATGCTGTCTTTGTAATCAATGGACAACTCAAATCAAATAGGCACCTATAGAGGGCAATTTGTCCTATGTAAGAACGAGAGGGACCGCATTCTTGTGGACCACAGTTCACCGTGCGTGATGCTTTTCTTAAGCACTAATTAAAACAAGCTTTATCAACAATGAACTCAGCTGTCATGACTATATCTCTGCTGGGAAGTGAAACGTTATCTTTCTGATTATGTTTATTAAAACAAACATAACAAACATACTGAACAAAGGCAAAAGCCTTGTGCTAAATTATTTGCTGTATTTTTGCATAAGGCAGCACTGTTTCTGAAAGGTAATGTTGTCAAAGCAATAACAGATCACAATTAGAAACATAAATAATGTGGTTGTTCAAATATCTTGGACAGTGTCCACATGGGAGAAACCAGATGGTTTTGTTTCATCTTCAAATGAGAAGAGTCAACGTGACAAGCATTCTGAAGAGCTTGCAGAAACAGATTCCAAAGCATCTGAATCGGACTCAGAAGACAGTGAAAATGAAGCACAGAGTTCAGAAACAAATTTCAAGGTAAGTTTTCTCTTTGGATTTATTTTACATACAGTATTAATTAATTCATAAGATGATTTATCTTTTATCTCTTGTGATAGGCTGTGCTCACTGTAATGACATTAAACCTTATGACTGAAAGCAGAAGTTTGCACTTGTTTGAATAGTAAAATGAATTCAATTATTTGGCCCATTAGTGGCACTGTTCCAGAACAGAAAGCATGATCTTTCCTTCAGCCCATCAGTAGTAGCTTGAATTCTGCAAGAAATGTGATGTTGTCTGAGAAAGATCACTGTCATCTCTCTGAAATAATCCACAAATTGGTTTGGATTTCAGTTTGAGGATGACTTCTAACCTTCATTGGTAAATGTGACTGTCAAGAGACCTTCAGGGAATGCTTTTGACTGAAAATGACGTGGTTGAAGTTTTGTTATTATTTCAGAAAAACATTGGCAGCACATAGTACAAAATCTGTATCAATTATATATTTTTGTCTTCAGGTTTAAAACTTAAGATAGAGAGTGTGATTATGGCTTTATTTGAGTCAGATCGTTTTTCTGAAACTGGTACTTCAGAACAGGCAGAGACAGTTTAAATATAAAATGTATTCAGAGGCAGGTGTTAATTCTAAAATATGTATTTTTGTATGACTGTGCATTGTTACAAGCTACTACCAGGTATTAGCTGTAAAGTGTGTGTATCTGCATGCACAGAAAGCTGTATGTGAATTTTTGCCTCTGTTTGTTTGGTTTTTTTTTTTAAGACATCCTAAGCTTTGTTTTTAAGTAAGTTTGTATTGGCTACTCCTTGCTAACTTCAGCCTTGATAGATGGGATTTTCCAACTTTAACTTTTTGTAACATTTAAGATTTTTTTTCAACTCTGTATGTGATGAATGCCCAAGGAGAAAAAATTAAAGATTTTATTGCAATAGGAGTTTATTGTTTCAGGGTACTCTTGGTTGAAAAGTATGACTAGTAGATAATGGTAAATAAAAGATATAAAATAAAGCTAAATTGTGTTTTTATTTAGGCATTTTTGCTTAAGGTGGGTTTTTTCCTCTTTAGAGGAAAGGAGATAATGGTGAAGAATCAGAGGAAGGGAAAAAATCTTCCAAAGCTAAAAAGTTAAGTCCTTATGGGAAGTGGCGAGAAGTTAAGCCAGAAGAAACTGTTGATAAAGAGAGTACATCAGCTTCCCAAGAAACCTCTAGTGATGCAACTAACAAGACAAACCCTTATGGAAAATGGAAAGCAATTAAAGAAGAAGAAGAAGAAGAAGAACCATGGTGAGGATCTTTTTACCATAGTTATTTTCATAATATTTGTTTCCAGAATACTTGTTTTCAAGAGCTGAAGCTGCTTCTTCTGAATTCTGGCAGAATTAGCACAGCAGTGATTGGAAACATAACCCAAATACAATTCTTTCCACAGTGATTGTTTTAAGTAATAGCTCTCCATGGCGGAAAGTGGTGGTGTTTTGGTTTTAGTGTAGAAGTTCACCATGAGTACAAAGTAAATTAAAGTGATTTAAAGGATCATTGTCATCCATCATTGTTCTCGGAGGCTGAGTATCAACCATTTAAATGTAGTTACTCTAAGCTTATGTTCCTTAACATCATCTCTTTCAACAATCTGGTTCAGCTGTCTCAGGAGCTCTTGTGACTGTTTTTTCAACAGCCTTGGAACAGCATAGGCAGCTTTCTCACGGCCTCCAGCTTCCAGGCTAAATTCTGTATCTTTCTGCTGAGTAGTTAGTTGGGCTAACTCTGCCTGGAGTTCAAGATCTATGTTGATCTTCTAGTACCACCAGCAACCTTATCTTGATCGTACTGGGTTACCATTGCTTTGAATTCCTTCCCTGTGGGATCAATAGTTGCTGACATAGTGAGTATGCTCTTTTAGACTCGGAACAATTTCTACCTAAGCCTGGTATGTTTGGCTGAGTTACTTCCACAAGCAGTGAATTATTTCTCACTTTGTGGTGGTGTACTAACTCTTTTAACTGTTCACTTGAAGGACACAGCCTAAAAGACGCTTCAGATTTTTTGTCTTAATTTCACCGAGTATTGCAGTAAAAGACTTCGGGTTCAGCTGTTTTTCTTCTTCCCTCATTTCCCTCATTTCAAAACAAAGTTAAGCAAAACCAAAACAAAATCCACTATCACCTTTTCTGCTGTCATTATGAGTAAGTCCTGGAGGCTCTTATAATGTAGTGGGAGACACTTCTGTAATGATGTGGCTAAGGAGATGAAGGACACAAAACGTGTAATCCAGTTATGCCAGTTTTAAATCTGGAAGCTGTCTCTTGCTCCCATGTCCAGCCAACATACTGCAAATGTTTTCATGACATGCATCTGATCAGAGGTGAGGTTTGGTTTGGTTTACTGCATGATGCCCGAGATGGCTCTTTTTTTTGGTGAAGCATGCTGTCTTTTATGGCCAGCTTCTTGTGGGACCACCTAGGAGTCTGGAGAAATTAGGTTTTGGAGAATGAAAAGAATCTTTTCCCTCACAGTCACTCCATTCTCCAGCATTTTAGTTCTAAATTATTCAGCAGATAGAGTTTTGACACTGTTCGAACTAAATTGAGCACTGATATACTTCTTTGGAGATCATAGAATCATAGAATCATTATGGTTGGAAAAGATCTCAAAGATCATCAAGTCCAACCGTATACCCAATGCCACCACGCCTGCTAAACCCACTAAACCATGTCTTGAAGCGCCACATCTAAACATTTTTTGAACACCTCTAGGGATGGTGACTCCACCACCTTCCTGGGGAGCCCGTTCCAATGCCTAACGACTCTTAGAGTGAAGAAATTCTTCCTTATGTCGAGCCTGAACCTCCCCTGGTGCAACTTGAGACCGTTTCCTCTTGTCCTATCGCTAGTTACCAGGAAGAAGAGACCAACCCCCGCCTCGCTACAACCTCCTTTCAGGTAGTTGTAGAGATGATAGTGTTCACTTAACACCTCCTGTATTGGACCAGCTAACTGCTCCTTGACTCCAGAGCTGATAAATTCTTTCAGGTTTTTGGAAAGCAGTGTCCAATAAACAGTGCTTTCAGCTATGGAACTTTGATATCAGTCTGTACATTAACACACAGGCTTGAGATATACATACATGTAAATAAGACAAATGCAGTTGTTCATTATTTACTTTAAATTGAGACAAGGCACAGTGCCAGGCACTTCCAGGAGGTTTACGCTTTCAGGATACTGCAGTAGTCCTGTTTTCTCGACTTACTTAACTTAGCAGTCATTCTGATTGGCAGTCATTGAGCTGATCCGTGTCTTCCTTGAAGCATAGGACCTGAAACTAGGCATAGTACAGGAGCTGACATCAGACTAACACTCAGTCGTACTGAAAGATTTCTTGTATGGATTGGCCAGCAATACAGTGTGTATCTCTTTGCAGCAGTGTTATGCTGGGGTGATTCCTGATGGACTTGTGATTTAGATTGTTTTCTGTGAACTGTTCAGTTGTTCTCCATCGTGTGTTTGTGCTGCAGGTTATTCTTGTAGAACACAGTGTTTTGCTGTTGACCCCTTGAAACCGACTGGTCATTTTTAGATGATGTCTTTGATGCGTTCAGATCAGTATTAGAGATCAGTGGTCCTGTTCTCCAAAGCTGCCTCTCCCAACTTGGGGTCACTGGCTGATTCTCTCATGCAGACCTGCAAGGATGGACACTTGCAGAAGGCTACTCAGTAGCCTTTTGTCAGTGAACCATTGCTAATTACTCACTGACTACTGTCTTTCAACATTCTTAAATTTACACGCGTGCAGCCCTGTTGTCTTTTGCGGGACTATTTACGTGATGAGTGCTTGGGCCATGCTATAAGCTCTGTACAGAATGAAGTCTTAGTTTTTCACTTTTTATGGCAGCCCACACAGAAGAAACAACATTTTTTTTTCTTGAATCTTGTCATGATGATGATCTTGGGTAGAAAACTGCATCTAGCTCAAAGCTGCTTTGGCAATTAAATATGGATGTTACTGTCTACAGTACAGCATGTTGTTTTCTCCATCTAGATTAACCCTCTTATGTTTTCCTCTCTTCTCCCAGTGAAAAAGTAGACCTGGAGCTTCCTAGTACAGAGAGTGACAGTCTACCAGCTCCAGTGCTAGAGGTTCCAGAAGATGCAACAGTGATATTTAAAGAGAAGACAGTCACCTCCCTTGGAGACCTGACGGAAGGGGTGCCAACATTTAAAAAGAGGAAATTTGAAAATGGAAAATCTAGAAACTTAAGACAAAGACTAAGCGATCAGTAATACTTAAGAAATAATTTTAGATTCTGCTTAAGCTAGAGTGAATCAAAAGTTTAATATTTTAAACAGGCTTTTATAAAGAAAATGTTGGATAGAAGTTAAGGATTTATAGGTATTAAGACATATGTGAGTTGTAATATTTTTTTATTTTATTTTGATGTGATTGATTTTGGAATGGAGTTTTTGTTATATTACTTATGCAATATTGTAAATACTTTTTTATTTTAACCAAGCCATCTAAGCTCAATTTGTTCTGTGTATGCTGTTCTAAATACATTGCATAAGGTTTTTTACTCCTTTTCTAAGTATGGGAGAATGTAGCAATCCTTAATCTGGCAAAAAATGATGCAGACCTTTTATTTTTACAGAGGAACTGGATCAATGACATGTACTAGAGAGTAAAATCATCCCCCAAGATTGTTTATGTGGCGTAGTTTCCCAAGTAATGAGCAGAAATATTGTGCTTACTAACCTTTGGCTAATCACTTGCAAAAGAGTAGGTGGGGAGACTGCCAACATTTCAAATCGATCATTTGAAAGCTGTTTTTAGAGGAGTTAGTCACATCAGTGCCGCTCATTCCAAATGATGCTCTGAAAAATTATTTGTGTATATGCCTGATAAATGTATTAAACTCCTGCAGAAGATTTAAACTTGATGAATCTTTAACCTTTATTAAGAGCGCCAGAGACACCCCTGTTGGAGTAGATATTTCTGTGATGTCTTCCTGTTGGTATTTTGCTTTGTTGTTGTCGCTACTTGAATTTTTCCTTCTTTTTACATATGAAGTTTTCTTTTTTTGGTCTTGTTTTCTTTTTGTCTCAAAAAGAAGACCAATTGCCTGATATTTTTATGAAAAAATATTCCAAAGACCTGGCCCTGCTACAGCAGACAGCACCCATTTTGAGGTTGATGGGTTTTGTCTCGTGGTAAGAGGAGTGCTGAGTAGTTGCGGTGTTCACTAAGGTGAGAGGGGCTAAGTGTATTTTGAAGCCTCATTGCTCTCAGTACTGTCGGAGAGGAAGACAAAAGATGGGTAACTAGAGCTGGTGGCTGTACTGCCCAAGATGGCTTGGACATTTGCTTAAGGATTGTAGTTCTGATTTCTTCACTTGGTGGGACTGGTCTGCGTTTAGCATTAGCAAGATTCATTGGCTGTGTAAGAATACAGCTACACTCATTGCTTCTCTAGGTATCAAACAGTGGACGATAAAGGTTCAAATCATTAATCCATTAAAAAATACGTCTCTGTTCCTAAAGCTGACAGTGTTTTGTTCAGGAGAGTCTCAGTCAAAAACAGAGGACGCAGTTAAGACAGTTGTCAGAGTCCAGCTATAGCAAAATAAGAGTTGATGACTGCTGAGCTTGAACTTCATTGAGAAAATGACTGTTAAACTGTCAGATCAGTGGAGAAAGGAGTGCAAGACAGGGAATCTGGTTTCTCATGTATTACAAAGGAAGCTGAAGTCCCTTTTTCTATTCTGTGACATTTTCTCTGTGTGTAGAAGAGAATTAAGTACTGTATTTAATCCCATGTGTTTCTTTGGCTTCATCAGGGTTGTTGTATTTCTTCTGATGTTTGTTTTGAGAAATCTGAACGTTTCCTGTAATATCTAGCCCTGAATTGTCACTTAGAGATGCAGGATGTGTCCTGGATGCTCTCACAGTCATTGATGCAGGAATGTACAATGTATACTCCACATGAAAGACCTCACATGCGAGGCTAGAACAGAAATGTCCTTTCTGCCAAGGAGAGGTTGTCAGGTTTCTTGAAAACCAGATTTTTCAGGTTTTGTTCTTATTCTTATTTGAACACTACTCCAACAGCTAGGAGCCTGCTCTGACTTGAAGCCTCCATGTGTCTGTGACCAATTTATACTCATTTCCTCCCAATTTACACAAGTATTGCCCTGCAGCTAAGTCGCTTTTCTTCCTCTTGAATCCATTGCATCTTTTCTCTTCGGAATCACATAAAGTGTCCTTGTGTGACAGGACCTTCGGTGTTCCACCAGCACTTCTCTTCATCCATTCCAGCCCGAGTTTGCCTAGACTCTATGTTCAAGGAAGATGAAAGCCACGTGTGATGTCACTAATACTTCCTTAGCCTATTGGAAGTAACTCTTGATACATCCCTAAACCACATTTGCCTTTCACATGACTGTATCACGCTGTCTGCCTTGAGTGCCCTGTGATGTACCAGCACAACCAGCTCCTTCTACTCCTTTGCCATTCCAGCTGCTGAGTTAACAGCTGATCATGCTTTCTTTTCAAACACAAGGTTTTTTCTTACAAATTTTTGTGCTGCTGTACTCATCCCGCTGTTGTTACTCCAAGCCTAAAGTATATATATTTCTTTACGATCTCTGTAAAATTATTTTAGTGTTTATTACTAGAGTTTTATACAGTAGTATATTTTTTTTGTGGGCTCCACTTTTAATATCCTCTAAGAACATCTTTCCTCTTTTAGTGAGGTTCCCAAAATATTGGTATCTTTCCTTAAAAATGTTTTGTCACATAGGCAGTGATTTAAGATACCTGTAATTAAATTGCTTGACCAGATGTTTAAAAACATCTGAAAATAAAAGTGTTCAAAACTTGGTTCCTTGAGGAGCTGCTGATAGTTGTAATATGAACCAAAGGTCTTTGTCAAGTACTGTGTTAAATAGACAAACCAAAACATTGGGACAAAAGATTAAATGCTTGCTTTGCTCACTGCTAGTAAAGTTGGTTTAAATACCATACCCTTGCTTTTGCTGATGTGACTTCTAAAGCCAGCATTTCACAAAGAAATACAGCACTTCACTCCCCACCACCTCTGAAAGTCAGTTTGAGGAGAGATCGATTTCTTCTTTCTCCTTAAGTGTCAATTATAATAAGGGACAGTTGAATCAAATTTGATATATCCAAAGCTACTGTTTAATTTTGCACCATGCTGTCATTCGATTTCCTTATTGTGTATCTAAACCAAATATTTTCTCTTCTGTACAAAAATACTGTCTTGTGCGAGATTGAAGGCAGACACTGCTTTTCCAGGACATCTGTGCTGCACAGCTCGCTCTCCCTTCTGTGCTATCTCCCTGTGCCATTGGAATTTGCCATAGGAATCCTCAAGGTATTACCAGTTACGCTCCTCATCTGCTAATTCTTCCTTGGGCTGCCCTGCCCTTTGACAAAGGAATGTTCCTTTTTCAGAAGAAGAATGTTTTGTTTTCCGACTAAACCATTTTCTGTCATGCAGCATGGTTTTATCTGCTTGCCTGCTTTTCTTGCAAGCTCCTTGAGTGAGGACTACGTCCTTGGCTTTATAGGCTGTCATAGATGTTACTAGTAATATGAGAAGGAGAGTCAGAGAGTCATTACCATTTCCGATGATGATTTCTTTTGTGTGGTTTTGAGCATTGCTCTGTATTTTTCTTCTCTCGGTTTGAGTTCACTGCTCTGTACTTTTCTTTCCTTGCCTCATCTTTCACCCATCTTGTCTGTTGAGAAAGCAAGCCAGCTTCCAGTACAGGACGTTTCTCTCTGGTGTGTTTTTACAGTAGGGCCTGCCTGAAGTTGGGGATGCCTTTAGAAGCAAACATATTGCATATGCTAAAAAAGAAAATTATTTTGTTGGGCATTTGTTATGCCAGGAGCTGTGCAGAGACCTGCTCAATTTCACCCAGGTTATAGAACAATCCTTGTTCCTAATTAGGCTAAGCCAAATTTTAACCCTTCCAACTGGGAATCTGTAGATTGAAATCCAGACTTTCCCAACAGGGTAAAGTTTGCTTTTTGTTTGACCCTCGTAGACAAAATCTGTGCTGCAGGATCATCCAGTCCAAATATTCAGATTTAGAAGATGGGAGGGCTGGTCATGACATGGATCTGACTTAAATTCACTCACCTGAGCATGTATAAGAACATTTCTCTTTTTTTTTTTTCCCTCCTCCCCTGAAAAAGATGTTATTTCAGTGCAAATTTTGGCATCTCAGAAAGCGAGTAAAAAACTATTTCATGCTGCTTAGTTTCCTTGATTTGCTTTTTGAGTTCTGACTCCTCTTTTTAGTACTTTTCTTATTACTGCTGTCTTCTGCAAACTGTCTTCCTCCAGTATTCCTATATATGCAATTCCGTATTATTACCGCTGTGCCATGTTTCCAGCGTCCACCTTCGCCCTACCCCGGCTCTACCGAGGTCTTTGGAAGGCTTCACGTTGCCTTACATAGGCCACCGTGTCACCAGATCCCAGCTTACGCCAAGCGCTTCTGCTGCCTGTTTGCATCATGCCCTGAAGAAATACCACCTTACCTACTGCCAAACAACACGCAAGCTATTTCAAGACCGACTACATCTGCTCTTTTGATTTCCTCAATAATTCGCTTTCCTGAGACAGATTTCATTCCACTCCTCCTACGGGGTTTGCAGCCCTTAAATCCTTTCACTTGTTGGTACAAAAGCTGTCTGTACACCTTCTGCTATCTGCTGCGGCAACCCTTTGGTTCTGTTTTGTCACCCATATCTCTTCAGTCTCTTTTGTATCTACCTCTTAAGTCCTCTTACCTTCTGCCTGCTAAATTATTTAACTTAGAAATTGTGTTAACTGTTTGTGTGATTAACAAATTCAGCTTTGCGCAATGTTTTGGGATATAGCTTGAATAAAAATTTCTGTACAAAGCAGAAAGCGTTGCAAATACTAATCTGAAAAAAGGCTAAATTTGCCCAAGAGGATTCCCAGAGAGCATCAGCAAACACAGGCTTGATTTTACCTATAGAAGTAGATTTTACCTATAGTTTGCCCTAACACCAATGTTAAAAGCCAGCAGACAGCATTATACAGACTGCAGCCTGAATAGGGTGGATTTTAATGGCTTAACTGAAGATGCAGTGAAGAACAGTGGGGTGATTGAAAAGCGCTTGTTTTAGTTCCTGAGTATTGTCTGCAAAGTTAAACAGCTGGTTTCTCTTTAACAGCTTCTCAGTTGCAATTACAAAATACTGCAAACTCTTGGAGTTTATCTGAAAATACTGAATAAAGCTTTCATTTGAACTATCCATATTGCTGCTGTTCATCTGTTTGAGGGTTTTAGGACAACCCGAGACATTTATGGATGCATATTCTGTTAAAAATGGGGCCTGGGGTAAATATAAACCGAAACAGGTATGTAAATATGGAAATGCTTCCTAAAAGAAATGCTTTTGTTTTGTGGTCACCAGCGTGGTGGCTGGCTGCCTTCCAGTAGCACATTAAGTAGTTACTGGAAATTGTTTCATTCTGTGCATCAATTATAAGTTACAAATTACCTGGGTTGAAATTGTTAATTTTAAAATTCTTCACAGAGTTCAGGTAAGGTTTGTTGTAGTTACTATGTAGTAACATTCAGAATATAGCTGAATATATAAACTTTCTGATGACAACAGATGGTGAGTCCGTAGTCTTCATATTTGCGGGTCTTAAGAATGATGAGCAATGCCCCGAGAGTTAAAGAAGCACACTTTTAAAAGGTGGGAAATGCACGTAAATTATTTCATAACATTTCTTTTACTGAGAAAAACCTTTCTGTTGATGTGATCTTTTGGCAACTTTTTTTGCAGAAAGTGAAAAAACTTCAGCTGTACTAAGCAGCTAGAAAAAAATAAGGTATGATGTAGGCAAACAGTTCTGCCAGACTACAATATGTTTTGTTGCTAACAGCGTTTGTTATTTCTTCCTTTTAGCAAAATGAGAACAGGCAGGTTGCTACTTCAAGTGAATAAATTGATTTGTAGTTCCAGGATTCCCGAGGCATTCCCTGGTACATTCTGTTGATGATCAAATGAAAGTAATCAAGGTCAGGTATCAGGGCTGCTATGCCTTTGCAGAGGGTCAGCATCCATCTTCCCGCTGTCATAAAAAAGGGCTCCTTCCAGGCGCAGCTTTTGTCTGGCGTCCTTCTTTGCTGGGTGAGGCGCTGCCACGCGAGAGGTCAGCAGGGAAAGGAGAGAGAGGCAGGAGCTACACTTCACATCCATCGACAGAACCTGCAGGGAGAGGAAGCTGGTGCCTTGCACCAGCTGCAACATCGCATCCGTGTGTGAGGTCTCAGTTACGCACACTGATGATACCAGGTGATGCTTTGTTCTGTGTGTTGTCACACTATTTGACCATGAAATATGAAGCTGCAGGCACCTGTTTTCTACCAGACGAACCTGTGCTGGCTCTGCTCTCCCGTGACCAGTTGTGCTGTCCCCTGGGGCTGTTCACTGCCTTCCAAGGAGCTGCTTTCCCTTTCCTTTTCCTCCCCATGCTTTGTTAGCATCATTTTTCCTGCTAGTGATTTCACTGCTGAAAGTCATGGTTGCTTGTAGAAACTGAAAAGCCCAAGTTCACAGAATTTAACAGAATCGATTTGGCTGAGACCTCTGGGATCATCGAGTCCAGCCTTTGCCCTAACACCACCATGTCAGCTAGACCATGGCACTAAGTGCCACGTCCAGTCTTTTCTTAAACACCTCCAGGGATGGTGACTCCACCACCTCCCTGGGCAGCCCATTCCAATGCCTAATGACCCTTTCTGTGAAGAAATGCCTCCTCATTTCTAGCCTGAACTTCCACTGGCGCAGTTTCAGACTATGCCCTCTTGTCCTGTCACGAGTTGGCTGGGAAAAGAGGCCAACCCCAGCTTCACTACACCCTCCTTTCAGGTCGTTGTAGAGAGTGATAAGGTCTCCCTTCAGCCCACTCTTCTCCAGGCTAAACAGCCCCAGCTCCCTCAGCTGCTCCCCATCAGACTTGTGCTCCAGACCCTTCACCACCTTCGTTGCCCTTTTCTGGACACGCTCCAGCACCTCAAGGTCTGTCTTGGAAGTGCGAGGCCCAGAACTGGACGAAATATTCCATTATTCCATCCTGAGAACGCCTCCGAGATGACATCGTTATAGCCCACATCCCTCCCTCGAGGACAAGTGCCAGCCCACAGCCAAACCCCATCAAAATCCCTCAGCTCTTACATCCCACAGAAAGGCTGGGGTGGAAGAACTTAAAATAAAATACAGCTTCAAATAATATTTTGTAAGTTAGGAGAAAACACAGCTTCAAATGCTGCTTTCTCAACGAGGAGAAGGAAATCTATCTGGTTTTAGTAAAGCAGGGCATTGCAGGCAACGAGCTCCTGTAGGAATGGGTCTGCTCTATATCCAATTCTCTGTCATAACTCAGCATAGCCATATTTTGCTGTCATCGACAAGTATGAGTGATCACAGGATAAGCTTAGTAAGACAAAGATCCTTCAGAATGCACTGGACCAGGCTGGGAGAAGGGATTTAGCTGCCTACACTGGGAATGTCCAAAATTTAGTAATAGAGGGCAGCTGCTTTCCCCTTTCTCATCACTCTGCACAAAACCAACATCGAAGAAGAGCTACAGAAATTTAACTTAATTGCAAATTTCCTTAAGGCTCTGCAGTCAAAACATGACCATCTTTCTTCCCGTAAAAGAAATGAGGTTCATTTTTTAAAAGTGTTTCAATAGTTTTTCATAGTAAAGAACTTCATAGGCACTAACTAATCCTAGAAGTGGAATCTGATTATTTAAAATGCATACTTGGTAAGAAATTTCTAAGATTGTTCAAAATACATAACTAATAGAATAAATTGGTTTGCTTCACAAAAGTGAGCATGGTAATTGGATAAGCACGTTAACTGGATACTCTCCTACCACAGCTGATGATACTAGTTACTGTGTCTGTCAGCACTGCGTAAGTACAAGCTGAGTTGCATATCTTCCTGGAGGGTTTTTTTTCTGAATTGCTTACTGCAAGAAGTCAAAGTTCAAGTGTGCAAATGACTCTTAAATTGCATAGTAATATATTTCCTGATTGACTTACAGAGCTATACATTAAAAAAAACAAACAAACAAACAAAAAACAAAACCCAAAAAGCTTTCGTAATTAAAGTGTTGGAACCAAGTCAAAAATTGTCAGACAAAGTTTGCTGATAAGAATGTACAAACACACAAAAGAATTGAAAAATAATTCTAGAACTGAGAAACTGAGTATAGTTTTCATGCTTTCTTCCTGGTACAAATTCTGTCTTTCTTAATATAGCTGAATAAAGTTAAAACTGTTGTTTGTTGTATGTGCAGTAGTAAAAATGACACCATTTAGAAGAACAATTATTTTTCTTAAAATAAGTGACAATTTCTCAGTCCTGCATCATTCATGATTACAAAATAAATGTGCAAATATAAATCAACCACCAGATATAATTTAAATCGTATTGATTCTTCACATGCAAAAGATTGTGCAGAGCAGCTTTACAGCATGACCTGGGAAGAGCAGTATAAAAAGAGAACCCAGATCAGCAGAGCACTTGCATATTTTTGTGTAACCTTAAACACGTGAGTGTTCCTGCATCGCTGCATATGACTACTGACTGCCTACGCACACGTGCCTGTCAGCATACTGCACAACATGCGCTTAGGTGAAAACATGAACGCAAGTCCTACTAAAGCCGAGTATGCTCTATAGGTATTTGAATCGCCCTCAGGGACAGGCGTACATTCCCAAAGACATCAAGGCAGAAAGCGAATTCCAAAGCTACCTGATTTGCTGGAATGCATCTCCGCTATGAACTCATTTTCTCTGCCAAGAAGCAGGGAGCTGGTTGTTATCACTGCTGAACTCCTTCCAGATTCTCATCAACTTAATTTGAAACTAGAACATGTACTTTTACATGCCACTGCAGCATGTGGTCCAGACCCACCCTAAGCTGACCCAAGAATGGCTGGAAGAAAGCTGACAGGCTTCTCTTAAGATTCTGGCCCCTTGCCCGAGATCGCTCCCTTTGCTTTTGTATATTCACTCTAAAAAATAAAGCATCATAATACAGAGTTATTTTTAAGGGACTACATTTAGGAAGCTCACCCAACCAAGGGATAAAAATAAGTAGTATTTATGGGGCCAGATTCTAGAGTATGTTTGGGGAGCTTAGGTTCTTTCACCTGGAGAGGAACATCTCCCATCCCCAAAACAAAACATAGGCTATGTGGTATTTCTTCTGCTCCATCACCACGGTTCTCTATCTTTCTAGCTGCAGTATGGTCAAGAGAAGTACAGGCTTAACAAAGCCATGCTGCCAAGACAGAAGGTATGTGCACACAGTACTCCAAGCTTGTTCTTTTCTGCTAGGGCTGCTGTAATAAGTTCAACCTATTTGCACCAAAATACAAAAAAGACTAGTATCACATACGGAAAAATAGAAACATGGATTTTAATCAACCTACTATCTAAGAAATGCACCTGTTTCATTTTGCTACAGAACATAACATTTCTGCTTCAACTCTACACAAGGTCTTCAGCAGCCTCCTCCTTCTAAAGTCTGCAAATTTTCTAGATATTCAGTGACAGCCTCTATCTCTGCAAACTCCAGTAGTCTGTTGATGAGCTTATCCAGTGCTTCTTTCCCACTCAGAATTTCCTATGAAAAAATTGAAAACAGACAAAAGCATTACTGACTGTACATCAGCACTATTCTGAAATGCTGACTACTCAAACAAAGAGCTCCTGGAATGCACTTTGCCCGGAGTCTTATCTCGGTGCATCCACTTGCTCATCTGTGCGTCTCCTCCATGTGAAGGCAACATGGTGTGGTGCACAGCAGTGGGACTTCGGCTGGCTGCCTGTGAAAAGCATGTTGATTCTGGGCAGCAAAAAAAGGAGCTACTGGTGGCTTCCTGCCATGCTTTCATGTAACCCATGTGTTTACCTGAAAATCACCTAGCAAGAACAATCAGGGATTGAAGAACCTAGTCCAAATACTGTTGTTCATGCCAGCAAAGCTCAACTAACTTTTGTTAGGCAGTTTATGGTTCCAGTTTCACTCAAGAAAGTAACGACCTCCCAATGCTAAGTAACCAAAAAGCTCAACTAACAAAAGTCATTTTTATGCAACTGTGGAACTTCTTTCCATTCTCCTCCACCATGGTGTTTGTGTACCTATTTCCCACTCCATTAAATATGAACTGTTCCATATTCCGCATGCCCTGTGTTCTCTCGAGTCACCCAGGACACCTGTGGATACAGTTCAAAAAGTGTTGCTCCTTATGCAACAGCACTCAGAGTAAACTGAATACCTAAGCCAAAATACTGAAGGGTCACCCTAAACTTTGTCTTAAAATTCAAAACATTTTCATAAATTTAATACACAAAAAAGCATTATTAGGTATTTGTTTTCCTGTAAAAAAAAAACCAAAACCAATAAATACGATTCAAACTGTAGGAAGATATTTACTCAGAAATAAGATCTCAGGCAATCTTAACATGAAAGCATTTGGTTTCAGTTTCTTTTAACTGTGGCCTGCGAGGCAAACATAAAAGAAAAAGTTTTTCTGTTTCTTCACTCTGGCATTAGGAGGAGAAAAGTATGGCTTCACAAAAAAAAAAAAAGTCCTTCACATCAGGTTTTTCTTTTGGATGTACTAAGCTTCAAGAATCTCAAATGTCACTTGCCTAGTTTGGCCAAGAGACTCACAGGGTTCCCTGAAGACTACAGCCTTCATCACACAGTAGGAGACAAATACATAGAGAAGTAGCCCAGCGAGTTATACCTTGTGCTAGCCATCTTAAACACTACTCTACAACAAAGCAGGAAAGCACTTTCTAAATCAACGATGTTCTGTCAGAGCACAACTGGCTATCTGATTTGCTCACATACATTCAATTGTTTTCACTAAGTTAATTTTTTCTTCTTATGGTACACATAAGTATCTAGCTTTACATACTCTCATAAGCAACCATTACCTTGATATTGCGTGCATCATACAAGATCCTGTGGTCAGTGACTCTGTCCTGGGTGAAGTTATAAGTGCGAATTCTCTCTGACTGGGCTCTTGTTCCCAACTGTAGTGAAGCAGCAAAACCAAATTCTATTATACTGTTGTTTTAAAAAAAAAAAAAAATCGAATACTACTCTAACACAGCATACCTAGAATAAACTTTAATGGATCTTTAGTGGTCACTGGCTTAGCATATGGGGTTTTTTTAAATATTGTAGCATTACTAAACTGTATTATTTGTGATTCTGTATAACAGACCAAGTTTTTAGATCCTCCAATACATTTCAGTTCCAGCTCTGTAGCTGGAAGAATGACTTAACTCTCAAAAGTGATGTAAAGCAAGAGGTGAGTCTATACAAGATCCCAGTTCAAAAATGTACGAGTCTTTCTTTTTTGGGGTGTTGTAGCTCCCACAAAAGATAATGAAAGTAGGCACCATTAATAACAGAAGCAGCACAGTCAATGTGTGGCAAAGCAGTTCCACTAACGTTTGGCTGTTTGAAATTAGCACTGAAAGAGGAGTAAATTACGAATATGAAGAGTAGTCCTCTAGTGGTAAAGTGCAAGAATGCAACCAATTCTAAAAGCTTTAAAGCAGAAATCCAAACATAGCACTGTTGTGTGGTTAAACGCTTTATCAAAATAGAGAATTAAACACTAAAAACTGCTTAGAGAAATGGGTGTCTTCTTCAATGGGCTTTTTTGAAAACTTCATCTGCAGTCAACATGTACATTTCAATACAAGGAATTTATTGAATAAATTCTGAAATATTAGGAAAGGTAATTTACTTTTGTCTGATTTTCTGCAGTATTCATACAAATGTACATCTAAGTCCTTCATGGAGCTTTGAAGGTTCTCAAGCTAAAATTAATAACAAAAGATAAATGGCTCACCGCTTACAATGACTGTGTTAATAACCTGCAGGAACAATACACTTAAATACAACCTGAAATTAGCCATTAAATAGCTAAACTGGAAACTCTGGAGTACTAAATAATTCTGTAATTCTGAAATATTTTTATTCCTGTCGATCACTGTTGAAGTTTCCACCACAAATGGGAAAATACTCAAAGAATGGGAAAAGAATGCTAGCACATTCCAAGAGAAAAGCACACTTTGCAGCATAACTTGAGGTAACTCTTTTACGGAAGCTGTTTCCTCCTTAAAAGGTTACATACAACGTATCAAATAAACGTCTACCTTTTATATATATCTATTCTATTTATTTTATATATATACAAAAATATACTTTTTATATATATAAATAAGCTGTGTAGTGCCAGTATTGTTCACACACTTTTCTTTCAAAAGCTCTGTATGGTCTTATCAAATATTCTGGTTTAGAAACAGGTTAAAATACAACTTTGGGAACTTCCAATCCTAGTTTTCATGGAAAATAACTTTTTACTGCTGCTCTATTTGTGTAACTCTGGCCTTAACAGGGGATTCAGTACATGACGTCGAGTGTTGCCTTTTGGATAATTCCAGCTAGTCTTTTGACTCTTTTCTTTCCAGCTCCAGTTGATGTCTCTTTTTCATTGCCTGAGAAGTCTACAATAGCATTGAACTGGGATCAGTAAAAAAACAGACTTACCATTTTAAAATACAAGATTCTCATTTGTAAGCACACCTGGTCAGACACACACACTCACTTGCTCTGTCACTGTCACTCAAAAATCTACAACAGAGCACCCTCTCCAAATTTCAGCAATCCTATGTTCTCACCTGCAGTTTTCTGGCACTCTGCTCTTGATTTAGTTGTTTTTCAATGATCTGCTGGTACAGCTTTGCTCTCAGTGTCCGCAGAGCTATTTCCTTGTTCATCTGCTGTGATCGCTCCTGCTGGCACTCAACTGCTAGTCCTTTACAGAGGGATTCAAGAGAGCTCAGATCAAAAGCCCATTATAACAAAGAACAAACAAGCTAAATTAATTCTAACACATTAGGCAAATGAAACCTTCCAGAGTGCTGGTTTGTAGGGCCTTTCAGCTGTAGGATAAAAAGTCATTTTAACACACTGGCCAGAACCATTACTATGTTTTTAAACTCTTCACAGCTGCACCAGGGGCTTTGTTCAGTGCTACAGAAAAGTCAGAGATATTTTAAAATTTCATGAAGCAAACAAGTTGCTGACACTGCCTCCAGAAAACGGGTTCACTCCACTCAGCTACCACATGTTAAAAATGTAATTTGCACAGTCTACAGAAGCATGTTTAAAACAGTGTAACAAAAGTTTTTAAAGTCCTACATTAGGTAAGTTCTTGGAGACTGGAAAATTCATTTCTCTAGCAAAGAAGGGTGTCTAAACAATACTGGTGAGTCTTGAGCTTAATTATGAATAATGAAATAAAGTAAAATAAAAGTCTTTAGAAGAAATTTAGTATTTATTTTTGCTTCTCATTTCATTTCTGAAATAAAAGGGCATATAGGAAACAGCTGTTTTCAGGTCACTACTGGAATTTCCTGTGCCTAAAGAGATTCTGCATCTGGACAGACAGAAACCCACTGAATTTCAATAAAAACAAATCCTGAGAAAGACAGAGTGGTCCAGTCTATACACTACCTTCCCATCAGCATACATCTTCCTTCCTATTCAACATATCATAGCATTATCTAGTACTGAATGAAAACAGTCATGTCACTACACAGGTCCCAGCTAGGCAAAGCGCACCCTTGTTTGCCAGTGGCCACTATTCCTGAAGGTACAGAGCACACAGCACAAATTATTTACATGTTCCATCCCACCCCTGTCACCCTCCATTTGTTCTTTCATCCTTCAAAGACAGTGTATTCATTAAACACACTCTCCAAAAACAAAACTGGCGTAATAGCGACTTGCTGACCTTTGTGCTACTGGTACATATCGCTTTTCTCACACATTGCCTTGCTAGAAGAGGGGCTGAACCAGAAGGGGCTACTTGCTTTTTCTGGTATAAGGCATAACTCTGCAAGCTCACTCTAAGAGATAACTTGCAGGATCACAAGCTTCTCTTTAGGATATAGATTTTGGGTGATTAGAAATATGAAATATAGCCAGACTTACCTGTGGGGAGGTGCAGAATTCTCACAGCACTATCAGTTTTGTTAACATGTTGCCCTCCAGCTCCTTTGGCCCTGAATGTATCTATTCGCAAATCTTTGGGATCCACTTTAACATCAACCTAGAATCAAAGAAAATTACTGCTTTCTGCTCATTCTAAAAATATCTGAATGTCAATGATAGTCAGTGTAAAAAAAAAAAAATTCACTTCTCAAAAAATTGCTCCTTTACAGCTGTTCCTGCGTAACAGCTATAATTATTATACTTCAAAAAAAATGCAGTGTCAAATATCTCTGCAAAGCAAGTGATGCTTTAAATATTACACTTATTTTTTCAAACTGTCAGTCCAGGTCCTTCACAAAACAAGGTGTGTGTGTGTGAAATGAAACAAAATCAACAACTTTTTGTAAAACCTCTAGCTTTGGCAAAGAGACTAAGAAAAATAAGCAAATAATTAAAAACTGCTTTGGAACAGCAATGCAAGGATCTTGTCCATGAGCCAAGCCGGAATGATTCTCACAACAGTGTTTTAAAACATCTAACTGAGGAAAAAATGGGTGTATCCAGATCCAAGTAAGGATTGCAGCATTGGAAATATGAGTCCGTGATGACCTGGACCATAGTTTGAGCTCAGTGGATGGGAAAGGAACATTCAGATCTGATCAATGTTGCAAGGAAAGCATTACAAGGAAGCAGGATAACGTGTAAAAAAAAAAGGACCTAGTTTTGTTTATTTTGTGTGTAAATTGCTGGTTTAAGTGAGAACTGTCAGTATCAGTGAGATCTCAGAAAGACTAGCCAACACACTCACTCATTCAAATTCAAAGCAGACTGTCCTTGATTTAACAGACAAGGACATCAATAATTTAAATGAAATCAAAAAAATCAAAAGGACATGCCGAACTACATTACTATGCAACACTGAATATTTTCTTGGATATATTCCCTGTCTTAATACATGACGTAATTTAAAATTGGCTTACTCATAGCAGTCAGCAGTGTGTGTGTTGGGGCTGGAATACTCACTGAAACAATCATTGATTTACATGCTGTTGCAGGCAACAGCAAATCTCTGCAAAGTTGCTTCTGATGACTCATTTAAACTCGTAACGTACAGAGTCAAGGCTATTGCCTTGCAGAGTCAGAGAACTTGTGGTTCACTTTCTGGGACTTGCAGAAAGCACTTGGGTATCAATAAAATCCCAAAACAGTAACAGTGACATGGTTTTAAATAACACCTACTCCAATGCCAAAGTGGGTGAGCAGGGATACACCGCCTTACCATCCTAATTAACAGTTAGTTTACCTCCTCTGGCTGAGGAAGGACAATAACTGACATTGTCCCAGTATGAATACGCTGCATTCTTGATGACAGGCCCGTCTCAGGGATTCGCTGGACTCGATGAGTCCCTCCTTCGTATTTCAGATGCTTGTAGACATCATCTCCCGAAATATGAGCAGCGGCATGATGCAAGCCACCTAGAGAGATAAGTAATGTGTGACAAATATAGCACAGGAACACTGCTTTTAATTTCATTGTCTTGGTGGAATGTCTGAAGAACTACTGTACCTATCTCAGCTGGTGTATAGTTCACAATGTCGAAGGTCCAACGTTTATAATCTGCATAGTTCTGGTACATCTCAAACATTTCTTTAGTGAACTGTTGGCAGATGTCTCCTAAAAATATAAAGGCGCTACAACATAAATAGCAGTTCACAAAATGGCAGTCATCAGTTTTTAGATTTAGCTGCAACTCTAAGCACAGTCATTAGACAGATTAACTCTTCTTTAGAAAGTATTACTTTATACCATTAAAGTATAAAAAGGCATTAAGAATAACCCATAAGAGGTTTAATAAAGTTGGATGGAGGTTTGAAGTAATCTTTACTGTAGGGACTTTGCTGACCTCCTGTTGTTCTGCCAGCTGTCACTTCTAATATGACAGGACTTCTATCATATTTTTCCTTTGGCACTAGAAGCTGGAAAAGCTGAAAATGAAAAAAAAAAAAAAAGTCATTATCTCCTTCATCTTCCTTATTCTCCTTCATGTGTCTTCTCTTAATCAAATTTACAGCCGGCCTTCACAATTGCCACAGCTCGAGTGCACACAACCACTGATTTCTTTTGGCAAGCTGGTAAGTAGGACTAAAAACTGCTCAATGGCCATTGCGACTCAGTGCAGTCAGTGTGGAAATGGGACATGCTGCTGCATCCACAGGAAAGCTAGCTGAAAATTCAATCCTGCAAAGTCGGGTGCCAGATCACCCACTGCAGCCCCAACTACCTATGAACACAAAGTTATTAACTATAACCCAGCCAATCTTTACATTAATCTTATTTTTCAGAAAGTCCCATTTCATATTATTTCAATCTGAACTTAGAAATGAGCCCAAACATAGACTTCTCCACTGCATGGTTTCAGCTTCTCCGCTTATAATTAATTTCCCCACTCGTGGGGTGCTGTCAGCTGAAGAGAAAATGAAAGACTGCAAGTTCCAATCAGAAATCTTTCAAGAATGCATGCTCCGCTGCCACAAACAGTTACTAGGATGTCGTGTCAGGTCTCAATAGTACAGACTCATCATTTTTTTAATCCCTTTCAGCATCTGCAGACACACAAGCAAGCAAGCAAAAATGACTAAAACAATAAGCTTCTAAGACACAATTGTCAGTAAGAAGCTTACTAATAATTAATGTTGCCACTTCTTTTCAGGGTGAATACAGAAGCTGGACTTCTGTTTCATTAAACGCAAGTGTCAGAGTCTACTGGTAAGATCACAAAGGAACATTTTTCTGACATCTTTATTTACAAAGCTGTGTAATTGTACCTCAGGCTCACCTTTCTGCACAACATGTTGATTTTTTTATCCAGGGTTTCCTTCTCTTCTAAGGCAAGCTCTAGAAGTTGTTTCTCATCTCTGTTGTCTAGCTCTAAATTCCAACAACATGAATAGATGTTAGGCAACCTCACTAGCTTAGAGTAAATTGTAATACAGCTGTCCAAAGACATGCATTGCAGCACATAAAAGCTTGCAGTTGCATTTTGCCAGCATGAAATATTAAATAAAAGCAGCCCAAGCCACAATGCATATTGCTAACTAAATGATATTTTTCTGGTGTGCTGGAAGGAGCAGCAGGTATCTCAATCTCTACCTTACGGCTCAAAGTCTGCATCAAATAGATGCCAGTCCCACCTGACAGCTACTCACTCTCAGTTATACTGATGGTTGTGTCACACAGATTAACAAGCCAGGGGTAAATCCACAAACAGATTTGACAAAATACATCAAAAATGTGCCTGCAGACAAGAAGTGCCTCAGTTTCCCTTATTACCATTTTTCATGCAACAAAATTTTTCCTTTCTGGACTTGCTCAGGAACACGCAGATATTCAACAATTTGGAGGCAACTCATTAAGGTGAGCACTACCAGTAATGGTATGAAGATAATGATGCAGTTTCTAACCTTCTGTCCCCTGCTATTCAAGAGGTCACTGAGATGTGGGAGTTATGGATGTAAGTCATCAGGATGTGGGAGAGCTCACTTGGACTCTTTGCTTTGCTTAAGGAGACTCCCTTCCCCTCTCTTCAGCATGTGAGACCACAGTCTGGAGTACTGTGTCCAGTTTTGAGCTCCCCAACACACGAAAGGCATGGAAATACTGGAGTGAGTCTACTGGAGAACCAGCAAGATAGTCAAGGGCTGTAGCAAGGGACGTATGAGAAGAGGCTGAACAAACACAGTTTGTTAAGAAAAGGAGCGGGAGGGGAGGTTTTATTGTTATGTACAACTACCTAACAGAAAGACATCAAAAAGATGGAGACAGACTCTGTATATTGTGATAAAAGGAGACATAAGCTGGAATACAGGAAATTCTGATTAGATATTACGAAAATTATTTTCACCCTAAGGGTGGTCAGACACTGGAACAGGGCCTCAGAGAAGCTGCAGGATCTCTACCCTTGGATATATTCCAAACTCAACTGGACAAGGCCCTGGGCAACCTAATCTAACTGGTCCTGCTTTGAGCAGGACATCAGACCTTCAGAGGTCCTCTTTAAACTAAATAATTTGATGATTCTGTGATTAGACTGCCCCTTCCCACATTTTAGAGCTTACTACCAAACTAGGAAACGTTCTCGGGTAAAGCTAGCAGAAGATCCAAACCTTTTCTGCTATGGAGGCTCCAGTTTACAATAATTAAAGATGCTGATCAGTTAGCATTAGATTATACACTACGTAGAAACTTAGCAGACAGCTGGAGTCAAGCAGAAAACCTGCCACTGCGAAAATAGGGAGCACCCTCTCCTTTCCATCTTTCTTCCCACTGCTCTACCAGCTGAGGAGTGGCTCTGTCACTCATCTCATCGGAAAGTAAACCAGTTCAACTCACTGAAAGAAAAAAATAGGTCTAGTTAAATAAATGCATGTATTTTACCATGTGAAGCTGAACTAGATTTAATTTACAACCAGACTATTACCAGCACAAATAGGGTAATGGGAGAAGACAGCTTTGGGAGTGAGATCGAGGGAAGAAAGCAACAAAGAGGAGAAGAAAGTCTCACATCTTGTGGCCAGCACGGAAACCATAGGTTTCCCTCAGATGCAGCATAAAACTGGACACTCAAAAGCTGAATGCATCTCCTCAGCTTGCATGACCAGTCGTCTGAGCTCTGGATTCTGCGGCAGGCGTCAGGGATCTCAAAGGCAGACAGGCACAAGGATCGCAGGCTCCACATCTCTGGGCATCTGGAGCCTGGTTCCCATTCACAGCAGCTAACACACAGAGACACATCTACTGGTGGCCTCAGCAGCAACTCTCAAGAACTAAATAGGCTGGGATGTTGAATCAGCTTTGTATACTGGGCAAGGACACCAGCCGCTGCTCCATATCACACTTTTTAATTTATGCTCTGGGTTTTTTTTTCTTTAAATAAAAGACATCAGATCAACACTCAAATCTGTCATCTCCTGTACATAAGGCAAGAACTGCATACATTTCCCTACCAGTATGCCACAACTCCAACCTACAGCTGTTACTGAATCAAGGGCTTCTAGCTGGTCCAAAAAGCATCATTATCGATTAGTTAGATAAACAGTACCAAGTTAACTACTGTCAGCAGAGATGAAAGAATGGTCTGGTGGTGACCAACAAGCTTAAGGTTCAAAGGATTGGTGTCCCATTCCTACCTCCCTGCAAAACTGACCTTTAAGAATTCATTTAATCTATCCCATGACTCACATCACCCATGGCAAACCAGGAAATAATATTTTTCTGCTTGACTGAGTGTTGCAAATATAAAGTCCTATAGAAATTGTGAGGAATTCGGGTATGACAGAGAAGAGGGTCAGTTAGGGCGCTAAACGGAAAACAAGGAGCAGTCATATGAAGGTAACATCTGTGTTTTAACTTGGCCACATGATAAACAAGACAGAGAAAAATTTGGCTCCATTTAACTAACTTCTTTGCTGTAATTTTCTTTCATTCTTTTCTTTTCCCTTCTTTCAACTAGAACTCACTCCATTCATCCACATCATAATTTATGAAATTAGAAAAATTCTTCATTGTATTTACTTGATCCAAAGATAGCCTTTTTAAGTTGAAGTATTAATTTTCCAGTGTTTTCTTAATACTTTCTAATTCTTTCAAGAACATTTCTTTTTCAGCATTAAATTTTTGTCCCTCCTTGCCTTCACTCCTTTTCATCTTCCTCCACTGAAGAGAACTTGAGAGGGTTGGGGATTAAAACATTTTCAATAACCAGCATTTTTTCCAAAAGCACAAACATCTATTTATTTCTAAAACTAAAGAATACAAATGTTTTCTACCTTTCTACCTTTCTAAACAAGTTACATTTTTACCAGTTTTATTTCAATATGTTTTTTGATGTTTTGTCAACACCCATTGGTTCTCTCTCTGAAAAACACCATGAACTTTCACCCTCTTCCCTTTACACCACTGGTTACCCATTTCTCCTGTCCTTTGCTTTTCCCTTGCTTCACTTCTTTAACATAAGCCCCATTCTCTCTAGGCCAATGTTTCCCTCTCTTGACTTAATACTTATCAGTGTAGCAGAACGGATGAAATTTTTTTTTCCTACTGTGTGCACCTCCTCACACTTCTAACATTTTTTTTTTCCTCAAAATGTTGCACTATTACTTATTTTGTAAATTCTTCTACTCCCTGTGAACTTTCTTATTCTGGAATGGTATCAAAAACAGTGACAATTTTTAATTCTTTTTCACTCCAACTTCTACTGTAGCAGAGTACTGAAAAGCAGCAGCTTCTTAGGCAGCCATCCATTTTTAGTCCTTGAAGGACTCCTCAAATATTTTCAAAGAAATATTAGCGTTTGCCATTTAAATTGGAAGCTGATAACTCAGGGCGTAAAGAAACTTCATGTAATTTGCTCAACAAGTATCAATGAAATGGCTAGATAGAATCCCATTTTAAATAACACAGGTGAAATCTGCATCTATCAAATGTGTTAGGCTCACTAGATTTTTTTCCTTCAGTTCACACTGCTCTTGGTTCTGCCAAAGAAAGACTTAAACCAAACATTTTCAAACTATTTCTGCTAGATGGATAGCCCTGAGATTCCAAAACCAAACATTTTCAAACTATTTCTGCTAGATGGATAGCCCTGAGATTCCAGATGATCCCTACTCTCCCAAATTGGCCGTATTAAGACCTCAAACTGAAGTGAGGCGAGATGAAAAATGGAAGGATGTGGCTGGATGCAGAAAGCCCTAGCAGCAGGCAAGCTCCCAGGACCAGGCAGGACCAGCTTAATTTAAAAGCTTTCCTCAAAGGCTGGGCAATGAAGTTTATGGCAAGCAAAGCTACTGTTTTGAAACAAGTAAGTAGATGTGTTCTCCTTACCTCTGCACATAGCTTCTAACTCCTGAACTTCTCTTTCAGCCTCTTTGATTTCTTGAAATGCAGCTGCAATAGGGGACAGATTGGCACATCGCCTCCTCAGGGTTCTTTGCTCAAAGTCATTTATTGAGTCAACATTTAACAGATGACTAACCTGCTGGTATTCCTTGCTTAGAGTCTCCAGATACTTCTGCACAGCCTCATGCTTCCACAATGCTCGAGAATCCTGATGTTTTTTCCTATGCTGACTGTTAAAAGACAGAGTGAATCTAGCTGTGTCCAATAAAGATTTTGGCCTCCAAAATCCACAGTTGTGCAGTCCCACCATGTAACCTATCTTCTTTGCAACAGGAGGGAGAAGACAGCTGTGAAGTTGACCATGACAGTAGCAACTGGCAAGCAGGCTCTTGAAAAGATAGACGCTTTGGAAAGGTCTCATTTTGTTTCTTATATTTCCACCACCTGAAATTAAAAGTAGACAGAACATGGACCAGTGTTATTATCTACAAAAAGACAGCATTCTATTAAAAACAAAAAACACAAGAACTGTATCAAGCCCAAATCCTGTTCTTGATAAAACCGACACAAACGCAACTGTCATGGACAAAACTATTCCTGTTTCAGTCCTGGTTTAAACCAGAAACTCTTATCAGCACTGTTGTACTGACTGAGGGCTTCCCTCACCTCCCCAGTTCACTTATGCTGTGGAAAAGCTACTGTAGATGCAGCTTTACAGACAACAGCTTCATTTTGCCATATGTCTCACTGGAAAAATCCAACCATTTCATGCCTTACCAGCGAAAGAAAATTGTTGTTGAGAGAAGATAAATCTATACTAGTTGGAAAAATCCAACCATTTCATGCCTCACCAGCGAAAGAAAACTGTTGTTGAGAGAAGATAAATCTATACTAGAGGTACAGAATTCTATCCAGAGAATGTATGAAATATCCAGAATTACGTGCAAAATTATACCCACTACCATAACCAGACATAACTTCGGCAGGAAGACATTAGTAACATCGAGCTGACCTTGCAACGGATTAGTCAACAGGACTGCAATACACTTGCAAGAAATTACATAGTACATATACGGGTGAGTAAGACATGGGAACAGTGCTTTATATCCCCTGTGTACTCCTTGCCATGATATATTTACAGGTAAGTGACACAAATAGTTTCCATCCAAAAAGTAAGAAGCTGGTACTCTGAAACACACCCCCTGTATTTTTCTGACACTTGGCCTACAGTTTTGCAGGACACGGGCTTCCCTTGGCATCACTAGGAAAGATCTTTTCCTCTTCATTTTGTATCATCAACATTGCAAACTATGTTATGAATTCTTAGCGTGCTCTAAAAATCTGTATTGGAGTGCAAGAGTCTACCAAGATGACTAAATTGAAATCAATCGTATTCTAGGACTACTCACACAGAAAAGGCTTAACAAATAAACAAGCTTAATATCTCCTTAATAACTCCTTAATATCTCTGACAGTGCCACAATCCCATCTGTCTACTGATTTTTACAAGAAAAGTGAACTCAGAGAAAATCAAGAGCATGAAACTTCTGCAACAGGATCTCCTTGAAACACACACTTTAGTTTTCTGACACAATTATTTTTTACTCATCAGTGACAAAACCTTCTGTGCATCTTCAGGCATTTTATTAACAAATTACTATGACATTCTAACTACTTAACTCACCCATTATCGTCACCTATTTACTTTCATCCATTTGTCCACCATGAGGAAAGAGCAATATGCAGTAAAACCAGAAGTACTGCATCTGGCTTGCCTGGATGTCCGTTTTGCTACCTTCAGAAGGAGGGAAGGATCTTTATTCTACTTCTGCACCTTCCCCATATTCCTCAGCCAGCAGGTGCTATTGAACCCACAGCAGCAACTTCAGGACTGCTTTAATTTACAGAGAGCCAAGGATATCGCTCATGGATTGCTGTAGTGACTAAAGGCAGCTGTGGCAGAGGGATCATGTTCCCTTCACCAGGGACACAGCAAAAGGCACAAATCTGCCTCTCATCTACAATCCTGGACTTAGTTGCTCTGGGGCACGTGTAGACTCAATTCCAAAAGACCTAAATCTGCTGATGGAATTGCTCCAGATCAGCATGGACCATTGTCATTTGGTCAAGTGCATTAATATTAAAATATTGATGTTATATTTTATTTTAATTAATTAATTATAACCATCTAACTAATTTTTTACTGGTGTAGTTAAGAAGCAATGTACTTATATAATAACAATTTGCAGTATTCTGCCTGAGCTGTCAGAAATAAAACTCTTGGTTTTAAATTCCCAAAGCACCTATGTAATGGCATGAGACAGGCCTTGAAGGAAGTCAGAAATTTCAAAATAACTTTGCTATGTTAAATAAAAAAGGTATCTCCTTCTCAGAAAGATGTTGCTGCATTGTATTTGTGCAGAAATAAGCACACATAAAGCTTTTACAGAGCTATGAGCCGTAGATGACTTATTAACAGCTTTCCAAACCAGATTTTCCTTTCTTATGTGACAAAATTACCTCATGCACATCAGAAATCAAAACCAGTAAGCAAAAGTGACAACTGTAATTGTCTTATTAAAAAAAAACAAAACAAAACAAAACAAAAACCAAATCCTAAATCGTAATTTCCAGACAGGAAAGAGTTATCAATATTGTGAACAATTTCTAACAATCAAAGATGCTATTAACGCTACACAACTGAATTCAAACACATACGAATACGGAGGTACACAAAAGGAGCACGTATTTCACTGCGCACCGTAACAGGAACAGCTCAAGGCCGTGCCACCGAGGGCACCTTTCACACACCTCTGCCCCCTACCACAGCTACCCCGAGTAAACCCCCTGAAAGTCGTTCACGAAGCCCCCCTGGTCTCCCTCCCACACTGCGGGGGTGACGGGTGGATGGGGAAGGCAAAGCAGGCAGGAGCAGCCAGAGGTCACACGGCGGCAAAGGGCGGCTGCGAGGGGCACAGGGGGCTCCGCTCCCCAACACTCGTCAAGGAGCTTTGGCACTCACCGTCCGCACACATCGGCGCTGGACGGATCCTGCCTCCAAACGCAAGGCCATGGCAGACAGGAAGTAGAGCGGGAAAACTCCCTGTCCCAGCATGCCTGCTACACAACATGACTCCCAGCATGCTTCGGCTCAGGCCAGCACGGCCGGCCGGCCCGCGGAGGCACAGGGGTACCGTCACCAAAGGTCTGCGAACACCGCTCCAGCAACGCTATCAGTAAAGGCAGACTTTGCTTTACTTTGTCAAATGCAAGCCCCGACATAAAAAATGAGGAACGCGACCTTAAAAATAGGTCTTCATTTTTGGTGTCTTCCTCACAGCTGCACAGTACCACACTCCGACTTCAGCAACACTTTGGGAGAAATGGCAAAAGTAACAACAAATGGGAATAGTCACTTCTGTTTGCAGCTCCTACACTGTTCTATTACATACACTTTTCCGTGCATTTTCCCAAAACGTGAGCTGAAAATAAATGTCGTTTCAAATCTGGTTATTGAAAGATTAATTTCAGAGAAGTCTGCATAAAACAATGTTAAGTTCCACTTTATGTCAAAGCTCACTATTCAATTATATTTAAAATGAATTATTACTATGCTACCAAACACAAACACCAGTTACAAAATATTAAAAACCATAACCACTCAGATTATCATCATGCTAATAGGCTGCAGCTTCCTAATAAGATATGTTTTAAAACATACTATGTATATGCACATTTTAATAGATAATATTAAACAGATTATACAACTACCTCCTTAATTATATTTGCATTTTAAAAAGACTTAAGTAACATTGTTTTCTTATACCTATAATCACCCAAAAAGCTTTCTTCCCAGCTACTATCATTCGACAGGATTAAAAGGAAAAGGTAAAAATTTGGTATTTGGCACATGTAACATCATTGGGGTTTGGTAAAGTAAATATTTCAAAAGATTGAAAACAAGACCAATCAATCCAGGAGGATTTGGATCAAACCTCATCAGCACATGAATGACAAGTAACCGCTTGTTTAGATCTGAGGACAGGTTCTGGCTCTGCTCCATCCCCTGGGACAGAAGGCAAGGCAGGCAGATTAAAAGGCTCTTCCAGAAAACAGGACCCACCCCAGAGCTGATCCGATGTACACATTGGCCACAGCAAACAGCACCCCAAAATCTCAAATGTGCTGCCCCAGGCCTGAGCCTGCAGTGCTGTGCCCATCGTCCAGACGCCATCCCCACCACGCCTCACTCTTCTTCCCCTATGACTTAGACCTCAGTGAAATGAAATAATGAAATCATCCTTGCATTAGGACTCTAAATATCATAGAATGGTTTGGGTTGGAAGGGACCTTAAAGATCATCCAGTTCCAACCCCCCTGCCATGGGCAGGGACACCTCCCACTGGACCAGGTTGCTCAAAGCCCCATCCAACCTGGTCTTGAACACTTCCAAGGATGGGGAATCCACAACTTCTCTGGGCAACCTGTGCCACTGCCTCACTGCCTTCACAGTGAAGAATTTCTTCCTAATATCTGATACTTACAAATCTTGAGAAGGTAATCTATGGGAGGACAACCAAGAAGCTAATAAGAACATGAAAACTGTAAGCAGACCATGCACTCCAAAATTAATTTTTAAAGAAGAGGGTAGGCCAAGGAAAATCAAACTAGCTCCTACTCCAGCCAGTAATGGTTCTTACATTAAATCCTCTGATTAAACATGATCATGATTCAGCTTTTATTATGCCTTGCAAGCCAATTCTTTAACTTAAGCATGAAAATAGAGACTCTAACAAACTCTCAGTCCTCCCTACCAGGCAGCAGACCACACAGGGATCACGTGGCCAAGACAAGGGCTGGACTCGGTCCTGTCAGTAGCATTGCCAGATACACTGTCAACCACAGGACCTAGTCCATGCATCTCATATTAAAAACATCCAAGATACACTTGTTCCCTATATTTACTGTATGCTTTTAGAATGCAGTATGGGAATTGAGTATGAAGGATGACAAATCCCATTGCTGTCTGTGCTTCCATCCCCCCTTACGTTTTGCTTTGATGCCTTAAAACCTGTGTGGCCGCAGCAGCTGCCTGTGGAGCAGGTGAGGACCAGGGGTTATGGGGCAGAGGCTGCTTGGGGCAGGGTGCCACTGCCTCCCTCAGCAACCACGGCAGCCCACAGGGACATCGGGTGCAGAAGGGGAGAGAGACAGCAGAAATACAGATGGGCTTTAGGACAGACATGGCGGTCCTGTGCTTTAAAATCTGGCAATCCTAACCTGCCAATTGCTTTAGAAACTGGAAGCAAAGAAATGGCTCATCAGACAAAACAGGCTCCAGGCCTCGCAATGTGCTTGGCTTGAAGGCAGGGCCGTGCCCACACAGAGGCCCTTTTTTGCTCAGGGGGCCCTAACCGGGTTTAGCAATCTGGAAGCAT